GCTCAAGCAAGGTTCCCTGGGCTGGCAGTGAACTTAAATGAGAAGGGGTCAGAGGCAAAGAGGAGTCACACACCCCATCTTAGGAGGGCAAGGGCTCCGCAGCCACGGTTGACTGCTGCAATGTGGAACTGTGGTCCCAAGGTTGCCAGTGCTTTGGGTTTTTTGAGAGAAACTGGAAATCTGGATTTTTATGAAAGTAATCCCGAGTTTTAAATGTGAAATGCTAATTTCAATTTTTATAAAACACTCTACAGGACAAGAAAAAAACAATCTCATCTGTGGGTGCGATATGGGCTGTCATTGGTCTATGGTCTGGTTTGCAACCTCTGGTATTAAGAGAGCAGAAAGCTGGATCATCCCTTGATTCCATCCTGCACAAATGTTTGCTCCCCACCAATCTCTGAAACAGTATCAAAAACATAAAGGTGGGTGGATTCTGAAAGGACAAATCATGCTTGGAATCCCCAGTCTAACCAGTGGTTCCTTCTGAACAGCAGGGTTGCATGGAGACATCCACTGTGGGCAAAGACATGGAGTCAGGAGTCTGGCGCCCCAGATTCTTGTCTCTCTACTGCAACCAACTTGCTGTTGACCTTGGGCAAGTCTAACAAGGGTCAGCCAGACGGGTGAGCCCAGTGAGGTGCTCAGGGTACAGAATGTTAGGCAGGATGTGTCTCCCTCCAGTCCTGGCCCTTCTCTCTGTGCCTTATCTGAACAATATAAGAGGTCATTCTAGAGACACCTAAGGCCCTTCCAGAATCAGGCTATTATGATGTCTAAATTTCCAAAATTGTCAGGTGACATAAATGGGGGCGAGATTTTCAAAACAATTGTCATCAACAGAGCTGTTTTATCTACATGAAATTTAGTGGGTACCAGTGACTTGTTAAGGGCAGACCACTTACGGGAGCTGGGAGCATTTTTAGGACATGTTCCTGACATCACGGGTCTGGCATTTTTGACAACGTATCTTCTGAAGTTCTGATTTGTTACATTTAACTGGGAAATAATATCTAAAAATACCTTTTCTTCCTCTGCAATACTATTGAAAAAATTAATTACAGATTTCATTAACCAGATTTTCTCATTTTTGCTTCATTTGTCCAATGCTCCCCCCACCCACCATCATTTAAGTGTTTTTCCCCCATGATGGTGTATGGGCCTGGTGTAGCTGTTGAAATACCTGGCTGTTCCTTGGCTAGCTGGCAGAGGCTGGTGATTCCTGACTGCGCAATGCTGGGAAGGCGGTCTTGGCGCATGTGATAGAGCATAAGCATGATTTGGAGAAAACCTAGCATGTGAATCACAAAATGCATAGAACAGGTGGAAACGAAAGGGCAATAATTTGGGTGACAAGAGGCAGTCTGACTCAGAAGCCTCGGTCTCTCAATTAAGAATCATAAATGCCATGAAGTCAAGGCTGTGTTTTGGGGGGTTCTGGAAAACAGAGTCCCCAAATATTAAGTGTCAAAGTCAACTGGCGACGAGAAGTGAGACGAATCATCTCTGCAACTATAATGTAAAACAGTGACGAAGCAGGATTTTTTTCTTTCCCTGCAAATCTGATTTACCTTCTGTGTTGTGGGGACCTGCTTGCTGCGTAAAGGGAATGACAGAGGCAAGTTTGCAGGCTTGTGGGAGGTCCCAACATGGGGCATTGACAGCTTGCCTAACTCAGTTCTTAGAGGCCAGTTCACCGTCATCATCCTGCATTCAGCACATGCTGACCACGCTCCATGGGAGACAGACACCACGACAGCTTCCCCCCTGCCCTGTTTAAGTGTTTTGTCCCCTCTTTGGGCCATGTTGCTACAATGGTTAACTACACAGGCTGTGCCGCCTAGTAGGTGAGCAGTGGCTCGACTTCCCTGAGATGAGCTCCTTTGTGAGAGGAGGGGTGGCAACGGCAGCTCCATGAGGTTATGAGGCTGCGCAGTGAAAGCGCGTGCACAAGCACTGGCTATGGAGCTGGGCACTAGTAGCCACTCGCTGTTCGTTTTCCTCGTCCTTCCTCTCCTGCAATGGCATGGAAGCCTTGGGACATTGCACCTTGTGCTTTCCTGTTTTTCCTTTCCTGGTTGCCTGGGAAGGTAGGTGGTAGCTCTTTTCCTTGTCCCCTACACTCTGAGCTGAGCACTACCACTGGGCGAGGTGGGCAACCTACGGTCCTTCCGACCTTGCGCCAGTTCATTTCACTTCTGGTCAGGGGTTGCCTCCCAGACTTGCTTCCTAAGTTCCAGCTCAACTGAATCAGTGAAACTGACCTCAGCCTCGATGGAAGCACATTTTGTGATTTTCAGCCACAGGAAGGACAGAATAATGGGGTTATCATGTGTGAAATAATTTCCACTAGTAGTTAACATCTGCAAATTTTCCTTAATTTTGAGAGCATTCCATGGCTAACCATGAGTAAGCACACCTGAACCATTAGAGTTTGTCTCCTTAATTTGTAAACTTTTAAACTTCAGATACTTAAATTGACCTTTCTGTGAATAGGGTAATTTGAATATGTTTTCTCTCTCTCTCTGAAAAATTTATTAAATTAATGTGTGATGCCCTCCCTAAGTTCCTATTTATTATTTCTTTACGGTGCCTAAATTGTGATTACAGAGAAGCATTATAAATTGTCAATGTGCAGATGAGACTTGGAAGGTCTGGGGCCAGGAGAGCAGGGGAGCTCTTTAAATAGAGATGTCAGCCCCAACTGATTTCAGAGTGGCTAGCCATTAAGATGGATGGTTCCAAAGCTATATGCCTCTACTGGAAATTAAAAACCCATGGAATAACTGATTATGATTAATTTTAAGTACTTAGCCACGAGAAGCCAAAAGCAAGCATCTTTAAAACAAAGCTATTGATCTGGCTTTGTTTGGAATTGAAAAGATAAACTAATCAGATCCTGTGGGCTTTTTTGTAATGATGGAGAATGAGAACTTTGATAATTATTTTGGTCATGGGTCTCTAAGTTTTAGCCTGGAAACACCCGGTGTATCTGGGTGCAAATTTTTCTTCTAGCAAATATCTGAGAGGAGTTGTCTAATTTTGTCCTGGTAGGGGTTTGATGGGGGTGAAGGTAGAATAGAAAGAAAGTTCGGAAAGTGGAAGGGATAACATTTAGAGAGTCCCTCCTATGTAATGCTTAGGTCATTACTCCTCAAAGTTGAGGAAGAAGATTCAGAGAGGTTAAGAAGCTTGACCCAAGCCTCACCACTTTCGGGATTCCCCACCCAGGTGTGCCTGGGTGAAGCCCCCTCCCCCCAGTCATCTTGGGGGCAACATGTTCTAGCACAGAGAACCCTCCTGGGGTTGACAGGTCATCACAGCTGTTGGTGAAAGCTGATGACTTCCATTTCCTGGTCTCTTCCCAAGGAATTTTCTCATCTTTTTCATTCTCTCTGGCAAGGGAGGGGAGAGGTGATAAGTTTCTAGTGGCCCTTTTGACAAAGGCGTTTTCTGCAGGCAGGGAAAAGCATGCCTATCCATCTCAGCCTCAGCCTCCTGAGAAGTCCAAGATTACTAAATTTGGGCTGGCACACTCTCCCTCGAAGACATGCATTTGTTGCCGGTTCCGGGGTCAGAGTTTGGGTGAGGAGAGACCATCCATCTTAGGAATGACAATCCAACTCCCCTGCTGAGGGTCCTGTGTATTCTGTACCGGGAATTCTCAGCTCTCATCTGATTTCCAATAGCTTTCAGCCTCAGCACGCCCCTTCCCACCCTGATTCCTCTTGGAATCACCTTCCTCTCAGACAGGGTGAAGGGCTCTTTCTAACCATTGCTAGCATCTTCTGGGCCAGGTGAACAGGAAGGTGAAGGGAGAACCTATACTCTTTTCCTTTATGTACAAAGGGGCATTTAAATATATTCATTCATGTACTGATTCAGCTTTCATTCATTCTGCTAGAATCAGACACAGGTACCTGTGACTATGTAATTTTTTTTTTTCAAAGGAGGCTCAACAAATCCTAATCTCTTAGCACTCACTGGCTAGAATTGTAGCATTGCAATAATTTTTTGCAGAATTTGTAAAGGTAAGTCACTCCAAGATAGAGCAACCAACTACTGCATTGTACAAATGAGAAAACTGAGGATTCAAGAGCCGAAGAGACTTGCCCAAGGTCACACAGCTAATTAGTGGCAGAACTAGGACTGAATCATACATCTCCTGACACAAGTTCTACTATGCTTTATTGCTCCTCTCCAGGCTCCCAAATCAGGGACAGATGGAAGTGTAGACATGGGTGAGAACATTCAAAATGTTTTCTTACACAATCCAACTTTAGTTTGAATGACCCCAAGATGACTGCTGACTTTCCCCCCGAAATCAGATTTCCTTAGTTAAACCACTTGAAAATCCAGGACAGAAAGACAGCTATACATTTTTTTCTAGGTAAGAAGCATAGGGTGAGGTGACAGAGGGGGCACTTCCCTCGTCTTTTCCACCCTGCTGCGTTAAGGTTACTGATTAAAGTTTGAATTTGAACCTGAGATGAGATCCCAGGAGTGATGGCAATGGCTGGACTTTACCAGGTGTTTGGCATCCGCCCTGTCCTGTGCTAAGGTCCCTTTCTGATTCTGGGCAATTTCAGCTGACCCTCTGGTGCTAGCCCCTCTCTCATTGGCCCCAGACCTGTAACCTGTCTCCTCGTATGCCCACTCACACAGACTCCGACGGGCTGTGGGGTGACTCCATCTAGCCCATCTGTCTCACGCAGCCACGAGTACCGAGGGAGCGTCGGGGGTGCAGTGACTCAATTGAGACTTAATTAGTAGGAACCCCAGTTTGTGGGAGGTGAGAAATCACACTCTGCTGCCTGCAAGCACTTTGGTCAAGGTGAGCCGGAGGGATCTCCCGGTTCCCAATTTTAATAGCACTGCAGCAGAAGATTCAGAAAAGCAGCCACACGGAGCCCCCTGCACACACACTCCCCCTCTCTCCTCCCCGCACCGGCACACACCACACGCACGCACACAAGGCAGCGATCGCAAAACCGACTCACAGGATCTCCAGGTCGCGCAGCGCTCGGAAGGCTCCATCTTCAATGCAGCTGATGCGATTGTTATCCAGTTGCCTGTGGAAAAGCAAGGGAGAGCGTGAAGCTGAGCGGGGGCAGCGCAGAGGGCCACCGAGCGCCTGTCCCTCCACCCCTTTGCAGGCTCTGCTCGTCCCCGCCAAGAGCTCCTGCAGAGCCAGCCTGTCTGCCACGCTGCTCCGTCTCTCCTCTCTGACTGTCTGAGAGAACTACACAGACGAGCGCACCAAAGGCTGTCAGGTCTCAGTAAATATTAATTGCGCATTTTTTTTTTTTTTTTTAGGCAGAAGGGAGTAATTTCATTACATTAGGGCATCCAATCCATTACGAGCTCTTACCGTCATGTCACTGAAACAATTTCATTAAGCTAAAGGCCTGTAAATCATTGGAGGTCACTGCTCTGCCCTCCGCGACCTCCCAGAATGCTTTTTCCCCTCTCCCTCGTCTCCCTTTTACTGGAAGTTGCAGTCTTTCTGCTCTGACACAGCGCTAAATCTCAAGGCTTTATCTGCCCAAGAGCGGCACGGGTGCATGGGGAATATACCAATTCCAAATTAGACTCAACTAATCTAATTTTATAGTCTTTTTATTATTCTAAGCACCAAATGTCTGTGGTGGTTTGATGTCTCCGTGCATTGTTATAGGGCCCATCTGGTAGGTCATTCTATTGAAGCATTTTCTGACTAAATACAGATTCCCTCAAACTGCATCATCACCCATCATCGACATTAAAGAAATTCATTGATGGAAACATTCATGATGGAGAAGAAAAAGAATATTGTTATTGCCTTAACGATGTACCACTTGCGTTTAAATTGGGGAGAATTAAATGCACCTCTTTCAGGATTCCTTTCTTTATTTCCCTTTCCATCCTATGCGCATGAAAATAATGTGTTTTTAAAAGATGTCTTGACTAATATGCATTCTAGTTGGGGACTGAGGGATTTTAGTGGAAAGGTAACAAATAGATGCCATTTTCTCTAGATCAAAAAATGGATATCTGATGATAAAGTCAAGATATTTACCATGACCACACCCAATTTTAATATCATATGTATATCTCTAACCCATTTAATTCTCTCTCAAAACAACAAATAGATGTTATCCAGAAAACAATTATTAATATCAGATTATCTATTATACTTCGAAGAGCACACCATGGAGGCTGACAGAACTACCACTATTCTAAAAAACTCCTGATGGATGCTCATTTTTTTTTTCTTTTGTCTCAGAAAAAGTGAGGACCTCTCAAATGAAGGGATTTCCTTCAGCTGAAATTTTCATATGTAATTTGCACTAATCTATCCCAATACATCTCACTGAACCTATCTCAAAGCTACATTTGATAATCCTCATGGAAGGTCTTATTTGTTACCATAGGAAGAAAGAATTAAAACTAAACTCTTATCATTGAAAATCTATACAGATATACAATTGTGCAAATGCACACAAGCGAAACACACCCCATCGGAGTGATGTCGCATGTTATAGATAGGTTCTGCCACAATGTTGTGGGACTCACATCGCCCCAATAGGCATTCATAAGACAAGACTCAGACATTTAGAATTTAAAGATACACAGGAGATGACGGGTCTCCAGGAAGCAGAAGCTTGGGTTGACCAGTTCTCTACCTAGTGTTCCAGGTTCTCGCTGATGCCCACGCACAAGGAATCTGAGACCTCCCTGCTTCTAATTCTTCCTGAGCTGTTCTCGGGATGGATTTGCATAGCATCCTTTCTGTGGATTTCCTGAGGCACCAAGGCGGCCGATTCTCTGCAGAGGTTCTACTAAGGCAGCCTAATGCTACTGCCTGGCTTCTATATCTATCATCAGTTTAAGGGAGATGAATCAACACCCCCGTCCCACGCCAAGGCCACCAAACCTTACCAAGCAGAAATGCAGTGGAGTTGGCTTTTGGCTCCCAGAAATTGTTCAATGAACATGCTGAATCCGGCAAAAATGGCACCGTCCGCCTAAGTGGAAAAGCATCTAAATCATCAAATTGGGAAGCCTGGGCTGCGGAGAAGTGGCAGTTTGAGGTGCATCTGCTTTTGTGCTGATGTTTCAGAGAGGTCCTTGCTCTTGGTGCATTATTTATTTGCTGGATATGGGATGTGTTTCCATTCTTTTTCTTGAGAGCATCAGAAACCCAACAGGAGACTAAATATACAGAATTTTTCATGGGAAAATATGGAATCTCTCAGAGAAAAGAGAAAGTCATAGAAGGAAGAGAAAAAACAAAGTGGTAGAAAGAGAACAAGTAGGGAAAGAGGAACAGAGTTCTAAAAATCCACTAGTTAATGTGCCGTCAGTCCTGTGCCCAAGACACAAGGTGGTGTGGACAAAGAATCTTAGAGAGGACCCTGATCATTTTAAAGCTGAGAACAGAGAACATTATTAAATATGCAATGTTTTAATATTTTCAGCAGCACACCTAGTTGTTTACTGGTAATGGGGAAAACTGAGCTGTAATGTAACCAACTCTGTGGGTGTATTTTATAGTTTAGTTTAGCACATATGAATTGTATTAAAATTTAAAAATTTTAAGCTGTGAATGTGATTTTTTTTTTTAGGAGATGTTTATTTTAGCTGAGATTTTCTTCTTTCATTCTAATCAGACAAAGATAAATCAGACAGGAACTATGTCCCAGTCTCGAGGGTCAAAGATTTACCCTCAAGATGCACCATTCATTATGAGAACCAGGGGGACGCACTGCCGTGGGGTTCATCAGGCAAACAAAAACCACCCAGTTCCTCCAGTTCCAAGCTCTTGTATCTTCGTAGCTCTGAACATTGGAGTATTCACAAAAGCCCAATTGATAGCCTATAATTATTCTTGATATTTCACGCAGATAAACTAAGTCACTAAAATAGTAAATACATACTTGTTCAGACAGGTTTCTTTTTCTTTCTGAAATGATAGCTCAGAGATATAAAAGTCCTAAAGCACAGGAGACAGGAGGCAAAATAAATGCAAGCCCAGCATTTCTTTGAGGATGATGTGGTGGAGTGCTGCTGAGCACAGAGAACCTTCCGGAGCTGAGGCCAGAGCATCTCACTTAGTAGTTTGCTTCGGGGGGTCGATGTGACCAGAGGCCACTGATGTGTACTCTAAGCTCTCAGGTCAAAGGTCCACACTGTGCCTTTGAAAAGACTCATTCAAAGACCCTCTCAGAAACAAATCCAAAAGCACATGGTCACTCAGAGGTGTGGGCAAAAACAAACTCTGGAAAAGTGAGCAGAAGGAACTCAGCATTCTGAGGATGCACACCGGCTTTTCTGCTTTCCCTTACCAATAACACACACATTTCCCGCAGCTGTTGAAACTTTCTCCTTACTACATGAATACGTACCCCAGTGCCTAGCACAGCGCCGGGTTGTTCACAGATGGCCACTAAGGGTTGTGGAATGAGTCCTGCTATTGAAGGTATGCAGGGCTGCAACCTAACTATGTGGAAGAAGCACCATCCCGGCACAGCCCTGTGGCCCTTCTAGCAGCAACGAGAACGACAGAGAATTCTCTCTGATCCCACACTGGGCTGCACACCCGTGGGGTCCTGCCTATCTGATACATAGACCTCGGAGGACCCCAAGAAGGACTCCTGAAATCAAGTGAGATTTCCAGGGACCCAGGGTAAGGCCGAGGGGCAGGAAGGCCGGGGTGGAGAAGGCAAAACTTACTCTTTTTTGGAGGCAACTTTCACTATCCTCTACTTTATACAGAATCCTCAGTTTGAATTATACCCTCTTGTTTCTGAATAAACCAAGAAGCCCCCAAACGTTTCATGATATTAAATTAACTGCTGCAATTTCCTGGGGAAGCTCGGGTTTCGGTGAACAATACGAGTGCTAAGGTGACACCAGAGTCCATTTAGGAAGGAACCCTCAGACCAGAACTGAACACAGACGCCCTGAAAGCCGCGTTCTGACTGCTGCATTTTTATATTCGGAGAATATAAATAAGTCAGAAAGAAAAGCCAGCGTGAGTGAGGACTTAAAATGATCTCCACAGATGACAAACAGGGAGATGGCACTTATGTAAAAATCCCTGCTCATAAGCACAGTGTTCTCCTATTATCACAGTTCATCTCTTTTGGTTACAATTTCCTATTTCCTAATTGAGGTGGATTACAAATATTTTTTTGGGTCCAAATATTTAAAGAAATACATCTAAATCTTTTTCTTAAAAAGGGTTAAAAAACCTGAGTACAATATTAAAAGCAATTTATCTCCCAATAACCACCAAGATAAATAAACAAAGAGGGAGAGGGAGAGGGAGAGAGACAGGGGTGGGGGAAGAGTAAAAAAAATTCAGGATCTTAATAATGCATTTTTGTCTCCATGAGAAATACCTGGAAAATAGAAATCTCCAGAAACAGGCTTTGGATATCTGGAAGGATTGAGTTCCCAACTAGTTAACTACATGCACGGTCTCTGCATGGGGGCACAACCACCCAGGTGTTCTTGTCTCATCCAGATGTTGTGGGGCCAGCATCTCCTGGGTGGATGGTGAAACGTCTCAGGGCACTGTCATGGGGGGGTGGCAAAATCCAGCAGCAGCATTTTGCTCCAGGACTGCAGCTAGAGTCACTGCAGTTCTTTGTGCTAGACAGGAGAAGCTTAGGCTCAGCACCCTCTGGAGTTAAACCATTTGCTAATTTGCACACAGCACAACTATCTAATGTGCAAAACCTGTATGAGATTAACAAGGGAAGCCTGAGCAGATATCCCATGCAAGTCTATCTATCGTTATGGACACCAAAAATTAATTAATCCAGAGGATCAACAGAGTATTACTAGGAGTGTGTGCTGTATTAGGTACCCAGGATACAGAATGAAATGCAAGACGTCCTTTGAAAATATTTGGAAGAAGGTTGCCTGATCTGTGATTTTACATGTGAATAGTCTTTAAAGGACTAAGAGAATGCTAAAAACTGAACTAATTTGAATTCGTTGTTGAGGAAATTTGTATGTTGGTACACATGTATATTCTGGATGTACTTTTCTCTAGACCTGGGAGAAATACAATCTTGCAACT